CAAAGTGTATAGTTTTTGTTTGACGACAGCAAGATCAAGTTGTATCATATCATGTGCTTGGACGTAGATACTATGGTCATCGATTGGCCAAAAATTTTCTTAATTTCCAGAGGATGATTTTGGACGTCCATAATATTAAAATTCCAGAAGTATGGTCGAGTACCACGGGGGAAGGATTTCCGTCGTTCCCTGTATCGAAGGCCACTCAATCATTGGGATAAATAGTGTGATACACACTATTTAACTTACTACTTCGAAGTATTGGGAGGCTGAATGAGTACGATGGTCGAAACGAGCGATGCGAGGACGGCTATAGTAGACAAATAGTGAGCTGTGATTCGGGGGCAGCCAGTCACAAGACCGTCATGTCACAGACGCCTTGGCAAAACCCACATTCACTAATAGGAATATACACTATTCAAGGATTCACACTTGCTGCAAATACAATTTTAGTCCTTTTCAGTGAAATTTGGACTCCTGAGTCGATTTGCTGAATGACTTGCCTCCAAAAAGACTAAAATAAATATACCATACAAAACTGAATACTATTGATTTTTCGCGCTCTATTCGCACACCACTAAGCAAGATCCTACAGCACGTGCAGCACCAGCATGCATCCTAGAGCATCATCATGCATGCTCTGTTTGTTTACTACTTTCTAGGTATGAAGCGAACGACCATTGCAAGGCTGTTTCACAAGTCCCTGAGCACCATCTCGAACTGGATCGAGCATTACGACAACACATCAAGCTACGACCGCAAGAAGACAGCTGCCATTGCTTGATTCAGCGACGAGCAGAAGCGATGGATTGTTGAGTTCTGCTGCGTCAACCCGATTGCATTCTCGACAAGTGCAAGAAAGCGTTTGAAGTGCACTTCAAAACGTACAGTACATCTCGGTATCAACAACCTGGCGTGTCATTCATGCCCACGGGTTTACGGGGAAAGTGCTTGAGCGGCGAGCCATGCAAGTACGACAAAAAGACGTTCAGCGGTTCTTTGACGAGCTTGCATCGATCGACTGGTCGCACCACAATGTGCAGTTTCTCGACGAAGTCAGCTTTGACTCTAGGGGCATGCTCGGGAAACGCAGGTATGCCATGAAGGGCCACAAGTTATGTTTTCGTGGGAATTTTGACCGAAAGCCAAGTGTATCGCTGCTGTGTTTCAACGATGTCCATGGTGTGACCGACGTGTTCGATACTGTGGGCACATTTGACTGGCATGTCTTTGTGAAGTGTTGTCAGATTAGAGCAAGCAGTTGCTCTCTATACCCTGGAAAAGGGTCCGTGTGGAACCTTGACGGTGCAAGCATCTATTGTCACCCCAACAGCGTCTATTATTTGCGCTCGATCGGGATCGTGCCGATATTCCTCCCCGCCTGCTGCCCGTTTTTCAACACCATAGAGTACGTATTTGGTCTCGTCAAGAAGCGAGGCTACAAGGAGAGTACAACGAAGGACATGCTGCATTTTGTGCTCGGCGTGGCGATGCAGTTTCAAAAGTACGACATGTCCAGTTTCTTTAGACACTGTGGGAACACAGCTGAAGGACTTTTTTACCCTGGAAAGCAGTTTGATATGTCCACACCATCAAACCTGAACGACAGTCTGCTTAGATTAATTGACTGTGATGACATCAGAAGTTCGGAAGAAATTTAGCTCAACAATGAATGACTTCAATTTTATTTGACATGAATGACTTTAACATTTGCACAATATATATTCAAATGATTTCATTGACATAAAATCTTAATCATGATCATCATCCTTTTTTATGTTTGGGATCGTTTCAAGAAGCTTATGAAGGCCATCGCCAGGATTTTGATATTCAACATCTCGAGCAAAGCCATCAATCATCCGCTTCTTCGTATTGAGCACGTCGATACAGCTTTGAACCCTCAAAGAAACCATTTTTGTTTCATTCATGAGTACACAAAGGTCTGCCAAACACGATTCCACAACGTCACGTGCAAGCAACAAGCTTTGTTGTAGGTTTTCTTGTCTTCTTGTGCGGCGTTGGCAGCCGACTGGAAGAGGTGAATGATTTGCACTGGCGGATGTCACATAACAACGACGCATGCTCGTGTGTTTGCCGCTTAACACGTGGGTGGCCCAAATGCGCCAAGTTGCTTCGTATTCACTGGAAATGCCTCTCCCTTGAACTTTCAGCGCCGCCACAGTTTCTTTGTTGAGAGCCTCTGCAGCTGCACCTGCTCTGTCTTGGACTGTGGCGCGATGCATTGTTGTTGCAGTTTCGCCAAGTCCGCCGTTGAGTTGACCCGGCTTCCATACTTGAATATGTCTATCATGAATGTGTTGTTGACGCGCTCCGATAGGTACTGGTGCGCTCGGGTTGTGTTGCTGTGCTTGAATTGATTGCGCCCCAATTTGAAGGTGATGAACATGTCAAAGTCGTCGAGAGTTGGCTTGACGGGGGACACCGACCAGACCCGTGGATCAGACTCATGATTTGCCAATGACACAATGTTCGGACGTGCAAACAAGAAGATCCGTTCCTTGATCGCCTCGCAAGACGCTCTCTCGAACACTTGCGGATGGAGTCACTTTCGATTGTGATCTCGACCATAGACAGTCTCCTTGACGACAACACCGGCTCCATTCGGTATAGATTCGTGGCAGGTTGCTCTGTTGAAGCTGGTGATGACTGGAAAGACCGTGAGTTATAACGGTGACTCGGTGGGGTGCTTTGTGTGAGCTCCATCGCCGTAACAGTCAGCGCAGCAGTTGAAGGAAATTGAAATGATGCGTTTTGATTGGTTAAGGCGATTCTCAATTCGATTTGCCTAGTAGATTTGATTCGGCTGGGAACTCCAAATTTGAATCTATTTGACAATACCAGTATGAAAAAATGTACTTCGTTCTCCTCTGTCCCAAATACTGTACGGTACTTGTATTTGCGTAGACGAGAAAAAGAGTGTACCACTCTGAATAAAAACATGAGCACTTTAGAAATTTATTCTCCAAACTCATTTTCAAGGAAAATTGGTTTGTTTTTTTTCAGATTGAAGTCCTTCGAAGTACTTCAGTGCACGCTGATAGACAACTCCATGCTGCTTGGCCAGGACGAAGACTCTAAGGTAGAGTAGTGACAGCCGCACTTCTCCGCCAAAACCTGTGCGATGCCGTTGGGCAATCGTGCCCAGGAGATCTTTCTGCTACGAAGCAGGATTTCCCAAAGGATGGCCTCACGGTCTCCGTTCGTCAGGTCGTGCTTGTTCACACGCACAACGAATGTCGGTCCTAGATTATTGTGAGTTAAACTATGCAAATTCAAGAGCTTAGGTTAATTAATATTCATGTGCATCTCCCCGCCGCCACAACTTAAATGAGAGTTCTTGATAATCAAACACGTTGACGGACAAATTTAAGTATGACTTGCAAATACTATAGGGTATTTCTCAAGGTCGTCCGACGTGTGGAAATATTTCTCACGATCGTTCGTGAGGTATTTTTATTCCACATCATCCACCGATACATGATTGGCTAAAAATCTCACGACCTTAAAAATTTGGATATAAGTCCGAGGGGGGGGGTCCTCTCCATTCCAGAATTTCAGCGGCCCCCAGCAAGCACCGTCCGCACCCGCCGTCCACTACGCTACACCAAGCGCGACAGCCACCGGGCGGTATGACCCAGCGACTTTCGATCTACACTCATGTACACCTGGTCCATTATGCCAGCCATGCCGTGTCCTTCAGCTCATTAGACTTTTAGCCAATCATGCCGCGATGGACGGTTTGGAATAACTATACACCTTACCAACGTTCAGCTTGGACGATCGTGAGAAATATTTCCACTCGTTGGCCGATCTTGAAAAATACTTCCCAATACACCAAGTCATCCCGTCCGCAACAATACGTGGGGACATAAGTACGTACAGATTGTCACTACAGTATATTGATATTACACACGGTCTCGCCGAGTTTGAACACGTAACTGGGATATCTGAATGCCCACTTCTCACCATCGAAATTGGAGCACCTCCTGTTGAAATGCGCACACACAGGCTTAGGGTGCTTACAGGGGGTATTTTCTCCGTTGGTAGAGCTTCGGTTTGCTGTTCCAAAGTTCGTGGTTCCGATCCCCGGCTACCGCGGAGTTTACTATCCATGACATTCCCCATGCAGAAGTGAAGGATATCGTTCGCATACGAGGACTGCAAACCGTCCCAGGTGCGTCAAAGAGGCGCAGCGGCACGACTAACGTGGCAGTTGTAAGACGGCTCTCGGAGTACGTCACTCACTATCGACCAGGCTCATTTACCTTCAGGTGCTTCGACAGCGAGCACGGTTGTAGTCAGGTTGCAGAGTTATCAGCAGCAGCAGCAGCAGCAGTCTCGAGAGGGACAGGAGCGACGACTCAGAGACGTCCATGCTATATCACAGTTCGAACCAGACCACCAGGAATGTCTCATGACGTCGTGCTGACTTGTCGCCGTGTTGGGCCGTAAACAATCGATGCAAATGTTGACACCGTGTCTCAATGTGTTGGATCCACGTCTTTTATTGGTTGAAAGTCTGTTGTAAATGGTTTTGATTGGACAGCACAAAGCAAATCATCGGATACTTTATTCCGATTGGACAAAATGAACAGTCAATCTGTGGCATGTTGTGTGCACATGCAGGAGTTGCATGGCCGCAACCGACACGGCCATTTACCGATTACCGCCGTTAAGAACGCAATTGACGCAATACAGACTTGACCATGGTTGCAGCGCTTTCCATTCTTGCTGCGTCCATGTGCCTCGCCCTCGTGGCCGCCCAATGCACCAATCTCATCGAAAACGTCGACTTTTACGGCTACGACGTTGGGTCGACATCCCAGGCAGATGCCGCGAACTGCTGCGCTAACTGTGCTGCCCATTACAGCTGTAAAGTTTGGGTTTGGACCAGCTACCAAGGTGGCACGTGCTGGCTCAAGAACCAAACGTCCTCGCCCACGCCACTCGATAGGGCCAAAGCTGGGGCACTGCCGGCTCCCCCGCTACCTCCTGCTTACGAGGAATTGATTGAAAACGTCGATTACTGGGGACACGACATCTCAAGCACCAAGCAAAAGTTCGCTCAGGCTTGCGGGGAAGACTGCGACGACACCGAAGGATGCCAATTGTTTGTCTGGACCAGCCACGAAGGCGGTACATGTTGGCTCAAGCACACATACGGTGGGCAATCACATTTGTACGGCGCTAAAGCTGCTCGTCGCGCGTCTGGCAGAGCACCATATTCCGCAGCAGCTCCTTTGGCCACCGACACTACCTCCATGACAACCGCTATGACCCTTGGACCCACCCTTGCATATAACACTCGCACCCTTGTGCCCATCAATCGGACCCGCGCACCTACAACAGTCACTCCTCCACCCCCCACCCCATCGCCCACAACCACAGCAAAGCCGTACCCAACAACGGCACAGATATGCCCTGCTCGCGTCCGCAAGCCTTGGAACCAGTTGGACGAAAGCGCAAAAGCGCTGTTCTTGTCTGCGTTGGAGTTGTCCATGGACCGTGGTTTGTATCAGCGCTTCCTGGCCATCCACAACGAGATGGTGTCCAACAATGAAGCGCACAACTCGTGCGTGTTTCTTTTCTGGCACCGCAAGTACTTACTCGCGTTTGAAGATATGCTTCGCGACCTCGGTGCCCCCTTTGCGTGTCTGGCGCTGCCGTACTTTGACTGGGTCGAAGACTACGCCAACTTCAAAGCGAAAAAGTGCACCAACTTCGGCACGTGCAGTCCCATCTTACAGGACTTTGGCGGAGCGGAGCACACGAACGCGTCGACGCCATTCTCGTCGGACCTTATGATTTTTGGTGCGGCGTACCCCTCGT